AAGGAAACATGGCAATCTACCAAGTAACTTACCTGATCGATGTAATATCAGTGGCACAAACAGAAATGGCACGATTATTGGAGGACATGTCTGTCGATTTGTTTCGCTTGAGAGCTTGTGAAGGCCACGTAGTGCAAGATTGATCATGACCGAAGCCTTCAGACGTACAAGCACAGATACAACCCCCAAAAACAAGGTATGAATTGTACGTAGCGTGTCGTCTACACTTTGTTAACTTCCATTTGTGTGGATAGCTATATTGAATCATGACCATCCCTTTGGAGTTTAAGACTTACAAATAAGCCAACTAATCAACCACCAAAATGAAGTGAAGTGTTCCGTGAAAAATACAGGTTAGGACAACAGATTGCATCATTCGGCGAACAACGAGGTTCTCCATAATAGAATTGCATGCGCCAAGCGAGTGATCCATTACCATCAAATCTAATGGCTTGAAGCATATGCCAAGCAGACGACTCCATCATGACAGGTGAGGCCAAAACATTATATGATATGTTCAAACAGTTAGGTGTGTTTTTTATTTTGGTGAATCAGCGCATGAGAATGAGCCTGTACAGACAACAGCGGAGAAGGTTTATCGAGATGATTTTGAGGTACGATACTGTTGAGCAACACATTAAACTGCCCCACCCCATAATAAGCTAATACGTTTCCTCAGGATACCAATGAAGAAGACCAAATCGAAAACGAGGTTGAAGAGAGAAGACCAACAAGAAGCTGTCAAGGTTATTCCTGTTCATGGTTGTTTCTTATAAACACTGCTAATCCAGTTTCATTAGATCCAAGCGTCAACGTTCGCAGCTAAAGCAAGAAGCGAAAAAGCAAAGAAGCAAAAAGGAAGCAATAGGGAGTCCTATCATTAGTGACACTGGTGACCATCGCCCGAACATGCGGCACAGCAACCCCTAAATGACCACGAGGAAGAAGAAAAGGGAAAAGGTAAAGGAAGAGCTTACTTAATAATGAATATGTATAAGTTGAAGGCACGTATCTCGGTGTATCCGAAGTAGCTAGCTAGCTTAAGGAAAGTTAATATCTCATAAATATCTGGTACAATCATTAATGACATCTTGGTGGTATCTAAAAGGCAGCTATGGACTGTCGTATCTCTATTGTTAATCTGCTGCTAATCTGGTTATTTATTATGAGCTGCTCAGGGATTGGTATATATCATCTTTCAATTGCTGTCTGCTATAACCTGAAAAAAACCTGCTCAAGTCTAAAGGGCACATATGTTCAGATTTGCTTCATTTTGAACCCATATTTTAGCCCCAGTGCTATATGAAGTAGCCTGTCACGCCAAGAAGGACCCCTAGCAGAGCAAAAGATGCAGAGGGTCGTGCTGTGTAACGTGTTACGTTTGCATGAATGGAAGGGTCAATGTATACATTCTGCCGATCATCTAGGAACAGGCATGTGTTAGGATAACGGCCATACTTTATCCAATCACTAATAAGAGATCCACGCATGGGAACGATGCCCTGCTCTAGACATTATTTCCATGATTAAAGCAGGTTGATCCGAGTTTGACTGGAGTTGCACAAGAGAGATTACATCACCTGGACATAAAAGCATCGTTCGATGTAGCTGAACCGATGTAATCTTGGGTGTGAGCGTAATCCTCAACCAAATCAGCTCGGATCAACCCACTTTAATCATGGAAATGAATGTATAGGAGCAGAAGCATCGTCCACCTACAATAGAATGCACAAAGCAGGAATGTCAAAAAGTAGCCGTTAGCTGCCAATGTATGACATAAAAAGTGAGGGTTGCGTACCTGTCATGCATTGTCCCTGGAGTCCTGACTTTTAGCTGAGTTACCCAAAGAGGTCCTTCTGCATCTTGGCTCTCCCAGAATCTACTACTTGGCAATGAACAAAGACCATCATAGAGCGTCACGCTTACAAACATAAAGAAACGTATTGGAGACAAGAGTTTGGCCAACAGCACCTTGTAGGAAAGTTTCGCGATCGTTTTCTGCCATCCTAGAGGATTTTCGTTAGTTGTCGCTACCAGCCAAACTGGATCCGGGGGGGTCCACCTCTTCGACGACGACGACCAAAAAATATTTTCTTGGACTGTCGGCGCATTGAACGCAACCACACAAGGTGCTGCTGAGCCCATTGCTCTAATAAAAACCCCACGTTTCATTGTAAAGTTTGGAGATACAGGCGTCTTTATGTTTTACCTATGCTGTAAGCGTGATGGAGTTGCTTTTTCCTAGTGGATGGTGTCGTCTGCATTAACGGAAAGATGAAGAGGTGAGTGAAACGGCACGTGGTGGTTACACAGACACCTCCTTGACAGGTTGCTACACAAATGGATGATGATGATGATTGCCTTTTGTGAAGGTACGTAAGTAAACAGCATCCAATAATGAAGGTGTGTCAAGGTATGCATCACATTTGCATGTAGAAGAAAGTCGAGTTGCATAAACCAATTTGTATATGTAAAAAGATACATATACATATTGAATGAGTCACTCATCCTGAAACTCAATGGAGGGATCTCTTCACTTTTTCTCTTCTCAAGCTCATCCCACTTGCCACTCCTCCTTATTGTATCACAAAAGCCATATACTTCTTGCACGACCGATAACCGTACCACCTTTATTATTCCATCTTCGAAGCAATAGTATGTAATCCACAAGCTGGCAACCTCCAACAAGCGTGTAATAAGTAAACAATGCTTTATTTCATCTAGCTATCTTGCTATGTACTGTACATTGCCACCACCATCGTCGTAGTCGTCCTCCGCCATCATTCGTACTCGTACTCGTCACCAGTCGTCAATCTCATCCGCCACACCAACATCAAAAAATACACAAGTTGAAAAGAATGGGATCTTGCAGGCTTCCTTTTGAATCTCGTTGTCGTCATCATTGTCATTGTTGTAGATGGGGTGATCATCGTAATCATCATTGTTGTGAATGTGGTAATCATCGTAATCGCCGTCTCTACAAATAAGAAAGCAAGCAAGTTAGATCATCTGGTACCGGAATGATGACGATTTGGTATATCGTTAGGCGATCCTCTCTAAGGAAGAAAGCAAATCAGAAGGAATTCACAAACCAAATCACCACCATACGAGCAACGTCGGGCGATCCCTTGTTCTTGAGAAGGCACTGCACGAATCACGCAAGGCCAGTTCGATCCATGGTAAGGAAGGGCATCACTTACGTAGAATCCAGGCTCATAGTTGTTCACATTCATCTTCTCCAAAGAAAGAGTGATCCCAATCCTTCCAATCATTTTCCCACCTCATGAAAAGAAATCCTCAAGGGAAAGAACGAGACTATCACGAGAAGAGCGTGTTGGTTAAACACATTCACAAGCTGTTGCAAATCCCCTTTTACCTCAACACGGTGACCATGCTCTTCCAACAACCCATCGTCATCGACCCATCAACTCAAATGCAGGCCTATAGAGCCCTGGACGCGTTCCAATAAGCTTTTCCAGAGCTCTATAGGCTAGTGCAGAACGACGCAGCGGCCACTTGGTACAGGCTGGGACTTGAACCCAAAGAGATGATGATGATGCCCCAAGTTGCATTGCCTGACCAAAGAAATCTATTCGGTTCATTGTTAGCACACACACACAATAAACACCCTTTTCATTGTTTGTTTCATTGTACTTGCCTTTTCCATATACACAAAGACCCGTTGTTGTTGGTTACTGGAAACCGAAAACCATGGTGTAGTAGTGCAGTTGAGCCGAAACAAAACGCCAAACGAGCCAACGTCCTGAAACCAAACTTGCTCTCTATGCAAGCTAACACGTCAATGGAACAAGTTGTGCTGCAACATTGGACTCTGAATGTACCTGTTGACACCAAGCGTAAGGCGGGAATAGCAACGAACAAGAGGAAACAACGGTATCGCCATGGCGACAACCAACCACCAACCACGCTCATTCCTCAGCACTTGGACACACTCACTCTCTGACAATGCACGTTCACAACTATACTAATACCTCACAACCAACAAGAGCACTGTTTTATAACACATTACCTTGATCGTAATGCCGTGCATGGAATGAAAGCAGAGGAGGGAGAAAGAGAAGAGAAGCGTCGTCTCAAGTCGTGGAGCTACCGTCCCCAAGTTTAAATCCCCTACTGCTATTACACTGAGGCCACTCAATGGCCCCACACATACACCATCCACCCATCATGATCATCATCACCCTCACGATAGACAATAGGTACACGTAAATAAAAGAAATGATGATCCTCACGTATAGCAAAAGGGTGTGTGCCATTTTACACTTTACATGATAATGATGATCCAACAACAGCCATTGCCTTTATACTACCAGGTTAGCTCGAATCAAGGAAGTTCAATGATGTGCATGCTGGGCTGGAGCAGGACAATCGTTCACATGCATTAGATCGGGCAACAAAGGTGGTTGGGGGGAAGGAGCTATTAGCTAGCGGTTTATGGACTAGAAATTATACAGATCCAAGCAATTGATTAAATATGGATAGCAAAGGGTGGTAGGATCCTGTAACGATGAATACTGTGAGGGTGTAATGTGGTTGCATAAACGTGTAAGCTTTATTGTAAGATCATTACTTCATATGCAATGTTAAGCCATTGAACGAAGTTTACGAGCGAAGCGAGCAACCCGAGCCGCTTGTCATGATTACATGCACTATGAATGGCTCCTAGATCCGAACAATGCTAACCCTACAATGCACATAGCATATCCCCATCACCAATGTACACCAACATGCTATCTCAGGATACGTAATAAAAAGTGATTTTTGATATTGGGTGATTTCATGACATTAACAAACAAGACGCATTTTGCGAGATCAAGAGAATAACGACAGCTTTGTTGATGTATGGAGTAAGAAAGAAGGATGGCATGAATGGATGGGAAATGAATATCGTAACAAGGGTGGAAATAGTAACGTTGGATGTCGGATCAAGTGTTGGTTGGATGTACATTGTACTGCCGTTTCCTCTTGCCTTGATATCTTTATCGTCCACCACGAGCACCTCCACCACGGTTTTGATTACCTCGACCACGACCACGACCACCATCTCTTCCTCCACCACGGCCACGGTTACCACGCATGTTGCGCTGACGACCTTCCTCTTCCTTGACCATGTCCACAATCTCCTCAGGCACATTCAGATACTTGATGGTATTACCACGGATATAGCACTCGGGCAAACGCCAAAACTTGTCACCATCGGGAGAGGTTTGAATCACTTCACGCAGCGTCAAATTCATCCAATTGTCGCAGTTGACCAAATGGCCGTTGAAGGTCTCGCCATTCTTGAGTTCGACCAAAAGAGGGTGACCAGCAGCCGTGTGTAAAAGAGATAAAGGTAACATGGAGTGTCTATAATTGAAATAAGGAGCCTGATCGGATCGTCGCGTGCTGTGGATCTTACGTTAGAGCCTTGTTGAGGAAGAAAACCAATGGTTGCCAAAAAGTCCGGAGTTCAAGTTGACCCTACCACGCACTGCGTTGCTGTCAGCTTTCTTTCCTTTGGCTCCTCCATTGAACACATAACCACACAACCACCACACACACACAACCATGAACGCACCAGAACGTTTCGAACTATTTGTCATTCCGGAAGGAAGAAGAAAGTAGGTGCAACATTCGATTGTAGAAGCTTCAATGGCTGACTCTAGAAAGAGTGGAGATGGAGATCGACACTAGAATCCCCAATGCAGCCACTTTCAAGATTGAACGAGAGGACCATACGCTAGGAAATATGTTACGATCGTAAGCGAGAGCAGCTTCCTTAGCATCATTATGTATTTGGTAATAATGCAGCATTATAGACAGCTCTTGAAAGATCCCCGTGTGTTATTTGCCGGCTACAAGGTGCCACATCCACTCGAACACAACTTTCACGTCAAGGTGCAAACCGTACCAGGCACTGCTCCAGGCCAAGCATTGAAAGACGCTACATCAGAATTGATCTCGGAAATCAACACATTGAAAAACAAGTTCGATATGGATGTTATTCGACAACGAACATTCGAGGACGCCAAAGCATCACAACAACCAATGTCTGTCTTTGAACAACAAGATGCACATGTAGTCATGGATACGGACATGCCAACGGATCAACCAAGTCGAACCGACGTCGAATTCTAGTTTCATCTTGTGATGTATTTTCCCCCTCCCTTCGCTCTTCATCATGTATACAACAAAATCTTATCCATGCACTATTAAAACCCAAATCAACGCGTAGCATCATCATCATTGCATTATACACAGAGATGGAGTGTCATTAAGGATATATAAATATGAGTGTGCGTGTGGAACATGAATATCGTGGGGTAAAAAGGTTGCCAAGTTACGTTGCACATGGTGAGAAAGGATCATCTTATTCCCACAGTGCAAACACACACATCATGCGGCACCCCAACAGTATTATTGATTGCATTGTATTCGTATTTGGAGATACACTACAACTTGGCCTTGATATTGCGAGCAGCAAGAGCAGCGCGTAATTGCTCATTTTCCCTAATGAATGTCATGGCACGCTTTTGCAATGATTGTAAGTTGAGTGTGTGTCATTCTTTCAAGCTTAGACAATGACGTACCTTACGCCCATTGGCTTTCTCAAAGACTTGTTCAAGTTGTTGTGCAAGCAAAAGATCACCACGGATCTTGATCTTGCCAGTCATATAAGCTTTTAATCCTTGAGGGGTGTGAGTTGAAAGTTTACTATTGTATTTGTCGCGCACGGCATACCTGTCATACTACTCTTATATGTTAATTCGCTGTACGTGTGCATGCATATGTGTATTGAGATACATTACCCGCCTGTTAAAAGATTGACCATGTTCTTATCCTCGACTTCAACCTTGACGACCTTGACTTTGCGCTTCATTGTATTCTTGATTACGTCTTCATCGTCCGTAATGACTGGCATCACTCCTTTTCCTATAATAACAGGTTAATTGCTGCTTTTGAATAATGCTGCTTGATCCAATTTGGAGCTCTAACCTTGAAGCAAGCAGTACCTGGATATCATGTTAATTCAAATCCCGTGCAGTGCTACTACGCATTCAACCTACCAAGTAGCCATGGGCTTTCTCTTTTTCACGATGGTGAGAATAAAGAGTGCCTTCATGTTAGGGATAAGCGAAGGGTCTTCTTGCAGCTGACGTTCTAGTTCAGGCATGAGCAAGTCGCTAGCTAGTTGTTTAAGCTGCTTGATGTCGTCATCGTTAATAGAAACCATAATTGGAGAAAATTGGAGGAAGAAAAGAAGACTACAAAAGGTGTTAGAATAATGGGACAGAGCCATATATCAATGTCAGAGCGGCATGTGAAAGTTACAGGCTATGCTGGGAACAGGCCACATCGTATTTACTAGTACACGACGCACAACCCCATCTGCATAAAAAACTACCACGTAATAGCAACCAAAGGAGGAAGGCTATAGTTTAACCCTGCCCCAGACATCAATCAAGGACGTGGCTGGTATTGCTTTTTGTACATTGGAACCATGGCATCCAATCAAGAAACATCGACTCATACTCCATACAACACCATCCAAGCTAACGTTGGCTGCCAAGAGTAGGGTCAATATGAATACATGAGCTGACTAGCCAATCATGCGGGATCACCGTGTCAATCTCCGCGCAAGGCGTTCTTTTATAAAGAGGGAGTGGTGTTGTGCCACCACAACAGGGACAACTTTGGCATATACGTACACGAAAAGAAATGTCATCTTCTTGGTCAGCTAGCAACTATAACACCCACGCATCATTTGTGCCCAAACTAGGGTCCATCATCCTTGGTATGCTTGATCCTCAATCGGACGAAAAAATCCTCGACTTTGGTTGTGGCGACGGAGTACTTACCCTCAAGCTGGCCGAGCAATGCAAGTCTGTTGTTGGAATTGATGCCAGCAGCAACATGATAGAGAAGGCAAAGGCAATCGCACCTCCGGATACCAATATCGAATACCACGTTGTGGATGGCCATGATGTGGCAGAATGGTTTGATGCCGCATCTGATCTTACCCCTTTTGATGCTGTTTTTTCTAATGCAAGCAAGTATAACTTTGTCAAAGGATTAAAATGTGGGGACGTTAACATTGGATTCCATAGCACTTCATTGGCTCAAACGCGACCCTATCAAAGTCATTCGAGGCATTCATCATGTCCTCAAACCAGGTGGACGTTTTGTAGCTGAATTTGGAGGATTCATGAATTGTGGAGGTATGCTTCCATTATCACTATGCCACATTCAATTGTCGTCTTTTATTGATTGATGCATGTTTTAGAGATTCACACGGCATTGATCACTGCTCTCAATCGTCGTGGTTTCAATGGCGAATCTTTGTCACCATGGTATTTCCCATCTCCCGACACATACAAGACCCATCTTGAAAACAATGGCTTCCAAGTGAAATCCATCGACCTCGTGCCACGTATGACCGAGCTTGACACTGATGTGGGAGGATGGTTGCGTACATTTGGTTTTTGCTTTCTTCAAGTCCTCCCAACTGATAAGGATCGTGAGGAGGTGATATCTGAAATCATGGAGCATTTGAGACCTTCCTATCAACGCGAAGATGGGAAATGGTTTGTGATGTATGTGCGTCTTCGTGTTGTCGCATACAAAGCAGCATAAAGTAATAGCATTGTTTACTCAGCCAATTATTCCAACATGATATACAATAAAAATGCGATTGAAAATGTATTTGTATTTTGATCTAAAATTACTTTTTGCCTCGATCCTTAATACCCAAAGTCAATGTTGTGCCTTCTACAATACCATAAAACTCCAAACTCTTGCTATTGTTGAGGACCGTATTGGTTACTGAAGTCAATTTTTGTTTGCCAGCCGGCATGCCAAGTTGTGAAGATATACGATCCTTGAGTGTGGTGATAAGAGTGTTTGGTGGAAGATTCGAAATAGTGATAGTGCTGCCGTTAAGGTTCCATTCAGGCTTCTCTGGCATGTTTGGAGTAACAATGTTGACAGATATTTCAGGCTAATGATGTATGTATTAGTATGATTGATTGATCCATCCATCCATGTATACATTGCATAAGAACTTACGGGTGGTGCATTCCATTGAGGCTCCATTCCAGGTTGTGCATTATCAAATCGAGGTCGCTTGGCATCTGCTTGCTCTAAGTCCTCCTCTGCTTTACGCACACCACCATCCACCATTGGTGGCGTCGCTGATGCTGCTCCCATCACTGGTGGCTGCACCGGTGCCTGTGACACATACATGTTGGGAAGTTGATTGCTGAAAGCACCCGAAGGATCAGGCATCGGTGCTGCACTTGCTGTTGGTGCTGCACTGTAATAGGGTTGCTGTACTGGTGCTGCTGGTGCGGGTGCTGCTGGAACAGCTTCTTGCGATAACGTAGCATCAGGCATTCGTGGTCCATATGTATCACTAAAAACATTGGGTTAAATATCTTATCCTCACAAGTAGCCATAACCTCAACTTACGGTGTAAAGCCCTTGCTCCTATGAATAGCTGCAATTTGCTCTTCGATGGATGTGTTTTGTTGAGCACGTTGTGTAGCTAAGCTGATAGTGGCAGTGTGACCATCCCAAGTAACACGTTCCTTCTTCCTTGCTTCCTCTTCTTCCTCGTGGATCTTTTTACCAATCGCCGTCTCCTCTTCACCAAAGATATCAGAACGATAACCAGAAAAGTTCTTGAGAATCTTGGCAACATCCGTTCCTTCTTGAAGCAAGTTGCTGTCTTTGGTCTTTGCCTCTGCTGCCAGCTTTTGTTCCTTCCATTTGGGATCAAGAAGTTCAATACGCATATGGTGATCCATTTCTGAGACTGGAATGGCCAAACCACAACGAGGACAGATTTGTGTTGGTTCATTCTTCTTGGCTGCATTGGCACCAAGAAGCTTGGGTTGATAATCGGTGCGAACTTTGATGGCTGCAGTGGTATCGGGCACCTTGACTTGTTCAGGAGGTGGTCGTTGCTCTTCCTCTTGATCACTCTCTTCTTCCATATCCACATCTTCGATCTATATCCCAAATGACATGTTAATTAACCAATCCCCCCTTTGGGCAATAAAAAGAATACATACATCCATCTCCACGTCACCAGGTTTCTCCTCTTGTGGCTGCTCGACTAAAGCGTTCATTCGTTTTTGGGCGAGTGACATGTTCTCCAATTCTGATAAGCTCATGGGTGGTGGCAAATCCATTTGATCATCCGCTTCATTGAATTCAACCGTTTCCACGACAACGAAATCATGCCATTCAATGCTTGCATATGCAACTATGGAAACAGGTTAATCATCTACTACTCTATCACCAATGATCACTTTTTACTTACGTCGTTCTTTTTCATCCTCATCTTCTTTCTTCTTTCTCTCAGCCTCGGTCCATGCAACCCATTCAACACGCTCCTTGACACGGTCGAGAATCTTATACTTTGTATTCTTGTTCATCAACAACTTTTCCTTGAGATCCTTTGGCGGTGCCAACACTTTGGTGTATTGCTTGACAAGCTCAGTGAAAAACGGGAATAGGCTGTGTGATGGCCGTAAGAAATCGAATTGATAGTTGCGTGATTCGCGTTGTGCAAGTTGATTGATGAATTGGCGACCGTTTCGTGCTGCAAATTGTGCTGTAAGCTTCATGATATCCCTATTTTGATATATCAATTAATGTACCCCAACATGGCATATCTAAAAAAGACACACTTACAGATCTTGAGCTGACATGGCAGGCATCTGTGCTGAAAACTCAAATGGCTCAGGCTCTTTTGGTGGTGCATTGGTGTCTTCCTCTGGTGTCTTGCGTTGATCTTCCTTTTCTTCTTTTCCAGCCTTCTTCGATACTGAAAAGCAATGCGACATTAGTATTCTTACCACTTTAAGCGCCATCTTTGTGTCCAAATACCTTTGCCTTCTCGAGCCTCGCTAAGTTTGAACTGGTAATAAGCGTGATATGGGTCGCTGGGGTTCAGAAAACAAAACTTGGGATTGTGTCGTTCATTTTCACGAATACGATCTTCGAGTTGTGCAGGTTTGTTGGCGAGAAATGCTGCAGCTGTGTCAACCGTTTCTGTAGTGTACAAATCCAGAGATTAGTCGCAACGACAAGTAGTGAATGGGTGACAAGAATCGTACCTCGAATGTTGGGTGGAGGGTAAATGATGCCAACGATGGGTTTGTTGCCTTCTCCAGCTGGGGTGGACGAGTTGCTGACATCGACTGCTGGTGATCCATCAGTTTCCATCAAGTTGGGCTGACTGAGAGCGGTGGTTGCCATGATCTCAAGTGGAAAAAAGAAGTGTATGAAGGCTGCCAGATGACTGCGGTCTCAGAAATACGTGCGGTGGTGAATGTTTTATAGCTCGCATAGATAATTTATTGATCCCTACGCCCTACAGCTCATCTACTTCATATTGAGTAAACTATACATCCATTCAATCAATCAATCTTGTATGACTATCTTGCCTTTGATATGCTTGCTTTGATTAGCAACCATCTTTTGCAGCTTTTCTTCCTCATCCGTGACTATTGAGAACCTCTTTAGAGTTATCTCATGGTATAGTTTGAATGTATATGTGGGGTTGATGTTGTATCTAATAGCCTAGGCTTTGTTGATTTCACATACATAAAGCAGCGTCAAATTACCTAACTCGATGATGTCAACCCTATAATGAAGAGACGATCCTTAGAGAGCATACGATTTCATCCTGGTAGCATCCAATTGGACCCGTTTGATAATGGAATTAGCTGACTTGGCTAAAAATCATTTTAGGCATTCGTTACCATCCTGCATCTTTGCTATAATCTAAGACGATGAATAGCTATTAATGAACAAGGAATTGACGCAGCAGCAAAATCATACGTGTGCGTTTAAGCAGGCTCAAATATGGTCTCATTTTTCAACAATAGAGGTACGCACTATGACACCTGCATCACCGGCTACTGCAATGAGGAAGGTTGATCCGTAACCGAATTCTTCACCATTTAGATATCATAGTACGCTTTTCTCCTTCCGTAACCTTGTCCCTGACAGCAAATGATGCAAGTGATTTGGTACCCACATAATGGGGAGCCACCATAATTAACAATGCCGCTATATAAAAAGATACCTTACTTCATCTCTGCATTGCATAGTAATCCAAGCTCTGGATTTGAGATATGAATAAGTGATCGCCTCCAGCAGGTACTCTTATGATGTCACTATACTTTTATTGCCGAGTTGAGAAATGATTGTTGCATACGGCCTTTATTCTAATCACAAAGGAATCATCCCCATATATACCATCCATCTATATACAGGTTCGTAATGCTTACTTGCAAGCTTGGTGATCAATTTGTGCATGATAGTTTCGATTTCCTACAAGTCAAGGGCCAATCATGTGGTCTATTAGCCTAATAGAGAGGGTGCTGCAAATCGAACATAGGTGCATCATCATCATAGCGTCAATATTGTGCCGCATTACATGTATCCAGCAATGATATCAGAAGAATGCGCATGTATGCTGACAAAGATATTCTCGTTTATTTGCTGTACTTGTGGATAAATCTACTTTCTGTACCAAAGCTGGGTGATCTTGGTCTACAATCAAGTAAAGAAAAAAAAGGCAATGACCGAGTTAGCCATATGGTCCGTGCATCTTCGTTTTTGAATTTCCAAACTTACTCTTCTCATCTTGCGTTGGAGTTGGAAGATACCATAGAGCAATGCCTCAGCAGTGGGGGGACAACCGGGAACGTACACATCAACAGGGACAATACGATCACAACCACGGACGACAGAGTATGAGTAGTGATAATAACCACCACCATTGGCACAACTGCCCATAGAAATGACCCAGCGAGGTTCGGGCATCTACAAACAACCATCCCGCTTTAGTGATCCTTTGTCCTTCGTATCCATTACCATTCAATTGTATTACCTGATCATAAACCTTTCGAAGAGCAGGAGCCATCTTGTTGGTGAGAGTACCAGCAACGATCATGACATCAGATTGACGAGGAGTAGCACGGAAAATAATACCAAGACGATCCTGATCGTAACGAGGAGTAGAACAATGCATCATTTCCTAAATGACAAAGACCTTTCAGTATTCCCCTGCGCGTATGTTGCACATGCGTCGTTAAGAAATTTACCACAGCGCAGCAAGCCAAACCAAAAGTAACGGGCCAGAAAGAACCTTCACGGGCCCAAGCAACAACACGATCGACAGTCGAAAGAACGTATTCTAATGGCGAATGATATGCGTGTGAATTGTTGGTTTCATATGTCATTTTTGGCTGCTGCTAACCTGCACTGTTGTTAGGCTTAAGTGCGATCTCCTTCACATCGTCGATCTTTCTGGTGACTTCAGTCGACATAGCACGCTTCGATACTGAGAGTGCCTGAGGAGCGATTGTGGTGGCTATACAGAGAGAAAGAGACGTCGAATTCAGTTGACATGTCGACAATGGGTGCTTCGTATCGTGAAATCAAGCGTCGTTGGAAAGCTTACTCATAGCACGCTTAGCAGCATGCAATCCAAGTGCCGTCATTGCCATTATGGAAGGTAAATGGGCGAAAAGAGTAGGGAGGGATTAAGGTATTAAGGAAAAGAAGAGGCTTGAATACACTTGTCCTCAGACTCAACAACAACTGGGCGTGTTTTTTCACTGATAGGCTTACCGTGGTGTAAGATTTCTGGCCCCGCCATCGGAAGCTGACGTCAACCAGCCATCATTCATTGCCACAAGTATGAAATGGATCACCATGAACGAGAACGCAAGACCACCTTCAATCAATATCCACGCATTGAACCATAAATAAAGACGCCATTGTTCATTTCCTTCATCAATCATTTCCTTGCAAAAGTCGCTGCTTGTTTCTTTGTGGGGTCTCTCCAAATGCAGATTCCCAATCATTGATGGATACTTCTAGATCGTTTTACGATGCTAGCTTCACACAGCCTGCTAGACTGCCCTCATGATAGTTTGGTACTTTAATAGAAAAATGAGTCCATCCAATACCCAATCGTGCCTTGTGAAGACTTACCATGTATATGAGAAAATAACGGCCCTATGACATGAAAAAGGCTAATATATCCAGATTAGCAAAAACGCTCATTGACAAGATTGCAGCAACTGAAGGTTTAAGATGTGCATCACCACCGCAATTATGAAACAAACAAACAAAGAGTATAAAGCGTATGAAAATACAAAGAAAGAGGGCCTGTGTAACCACTCATTGTTGACAAACAGAATTCGTTCAGCGATATTACTATGACGCACGACCAAAGCCGAGTTGTTTGGATCGTATGGGCGTTGTTGATTGTATATGTGTTATCCATAGCCTCTTCTTGACCAAACATTGTCAATCATTTAGACCATGCACATGAGCTGCATTACCTGAATAAAGCATATAGGAGATTTGGAAATGGATTGAGGAGTGCATAAAGTGTAACCATGACAAGCTGCTTGAAATGAAAATTTGTGTTGCAAGGATATAGCATGTTTGCCTTGTTGTAGTAAAATAGGCCACAAGATCAAATGCTGTTCTATATTAGGAGTAGCCTCCAAACATCATGAAACCAGGGCTCCTTACGCCGTAAAATGCACTCCACGGAAAGAAGGCAACTACGATGCAACCTAGTGTCAATACGCAGGAGACGCTATTTTTTGCTTGCAGCATGGAAAACATAGAATATCTGGATAACAACGATGCATGCATATTTTACGGTGTCGATCGGTTATAACGGACCGACAGCGTATGTGTGTGTAAAGTGCGGCTGTTTTCAATGGAGAACACGCACCACAACGATAATAGTGCAAACATTAATAGCCGACAACAATGCACAACAACGTATAAACAACCCAGCCATTCATGGTTTGTATGTCATGGGGATCTCATGAGCTGCACAAGCGATCCTCGGTTCCCGACCACCCGCTGCAACAGCCATCTTTCGTTTGTCGATGTTCTAGACAAAGGCTGGTGTCACGATGCAGGTGTAAGAGGATCAAAATGCATTCTTTCTGCTCACACAACAACCTCTCTTGGAGCATAGAAGCTAGTAGATTGTGTATGTGTATGTGTAGCGTTACACCCATGTTTGCTGCCTTTGGGCTACGACAGGCAAAGACATACACCTGACTCCACCTTCTCGGATCGGGACAACCATTGCCACATGCACCGGTTGTAAAAAAGAAGCATGTGGTGGTTGTGATAAAACACCAAATCTAGCAACTTTATAGCCTTTGGCGTGAGATTCATCTTAACCGGATTGGTCAACAAATGCGACGTGATCTACTATCGAGGTAGTTACCTTTTATGAAAACAGAAAGAACAAGCGACCTAGGCCTTCAAGTGCACGTTTGCACCATTGTGCAACCATCCTTTCGAATGCCACATGCATGTCGGTCAATGCAAATGGTGTTCAATCTTATTATTGGGTCCATGGTAATGGATGAAGGCGTACGAATAAGCTGATGATAGGTGGTTATCCAAGGCTAGCTTAAGGTGATTCACGACGCCGTACATGTGGGTCTGTGCTTTTGTATGTGTTTCCCACGACGGAAAGAGATTGGCTTCCAGAGCTTTGGAAAGCAAGCAAGTGGGCTGAAAAGAGAGTGGGGGGGTACAAAATGCAAGTGAGATTTTTTTCAGATTTCCTCATTTTTGGAGCTCTTTCTTCTCTCTTTTTTTGAAACGCCATGATGAAAGCTGTTGAAGCTCTACCTTGTCTTTTGTTCCCATCAGTGAATGATGCACATAATGTTGTCCTTGACACAAGCCCCATTCAATGCACCAATTTCTATTACTTTAACACATCCACCACAACCACCTATGATGATGATGAAGAATCGCCGCCATCCGAAAAGGATGAGCAATCTGATGGCTCTGGCAATTCAAGTTTGTGTCGCCGCCCTCGTACATCCTCTTCCAATCTCTCTCGACATTTATTGCAACAAGACAAGACTCGGCGTAAAAAACTCAAGCGAAGCAGCACCACCGCATCCATTCTCAACTCTCTCATTAGTGCTAGTAGTAGTAGTAGTGATGAAGAAGGAGAGGATGAAAACAAACATCAACATAGCATTGGGCGCCAAAAAGATACTCACAATGATAAAAACCGCCGCCCCCTTGTTACTCGAAAAACAACACACGACATTGTGCAGTATCGCCCTGTCAAATTGACGCAACGTGATGCCAACACCATGTCTTGTTTAGATACACGCATGGCTGAGACTGTAAGATGATAATGCAGAACATTCTTATCCTTTGGGATGATGTAGCTGATCATGCAAAATGCATCTCTACTATAGCTTCGACTCTTTTTACCACGTCGGCTGTCTGTGGCACATGAATGGCGTCTGTTGTATAGCATGGATCAACATGGCTCGAGCTTACAGACACTTTTTTACAATGTCCAAAAACATGTGGGCCCTTGTTTGCTCGTGATCCAAACAACGGATGAAGAGGTAAATCCCGTCCCACACCCACCAAGGCTGAGAATATCAATATTCACATTTATTCTGGCAAAGATTTTTGGAGGCTACCTTTCCGAGACATTACATATGGAGTCGCGGTACTATGGCTCCGGCGAATGGTGAGTAGCAGTAGTAGTAGTAGTGTTTGTGAATGACGCCTACTTGTCCCTTGTATCGCCTCCTGCATTCATATTTACTCACATCGTTGCCTCTTGTTGACGTAGTTTCCTTTGGAGAATGGACATGCAGTCGGGAAATCCTCGGCCTCTTGTTTATCGGTGGGCGGGTAAAAATGATTACCTGATTTACTCTGATCGCAATTATCTCTCATTGGGAGGAGGGTAAGTAAGCAAGCACAATGTCATGTGAAAGCCCAATTGTTGTTCATTCACACACATTCTTTGTCTTACATGTAGGGATGGCAAAGTGGGTCTTTGGCTTAATGGTGATTTGTTGCATGGGCACACAGAGCCATGTGCCACGTTTGAGAATGAGCCGCTTGCCGATCATACAACTTTTGAGTGTTTGGCGCTTGAGATCTGGGGATTCAAGTTTTAAGAAAACCATATGCATTAACCATACAACAACATACCAAAGCAAGAAAAAAAGGAGAGCATCTTTTGTACATCACACACAACACATGCACACACACACACAAACACATCCATCACTCACTCACTCACTCACTCTCATATATATATATATCACATTATGCATCTTTTTTGTCGCAAATACATACACATGGCACATCCAAAGTTTATATATACATTGGGTCGAACTATCCTGCCTTATACAGTCTAATACAGCAAGAATTCTTCTGTAATAAGTTGTAATAGTGTCGCTGCTTCTTCTTGAGTCATCCGTTTCCGTACATTTCTTGTTCTATCTTCTTCTTCATCATCTTGGTCATCTTGTTCTTGCTCCATTTCCTTTAGCATGTTTGTCACTGGTACCCCAATGATACGAGGATTCATTGTCAGAACCTGTTGAAATGCCGAGACGAGATCTGTTTTGCTAATCTTACTCCTGCTGTGAAGCCGCCTATTCAGGCTGGTTCCATTCAAATCGCCACCACCCTCGTCATCGTCATCATCACGTATCTTGCGTCGAGTGCCTCTTGGTTCCATACTTGTCATTACGGTGTCCAACATCATCATGTCCTCCCTTGAACCTTGCTGGTGCTGTTCCACATGTCCGTAATAAAAGTCGCTATCATCATCATCATCATCGCTGGGGTCGTCTGAATCATCAACAGAGAAGCTGTATTCTTCTAAAAGAGTGCTCCATATTGACGTGATGGGTATACGCTTTCGCACCACGCATAGACATGTCTCCCCGTCAGCGTCAACATTGGCATTGGTGTCGTTCTTCATGGATATCCCTTGTTGTGGCGTGGTGGTGGGTGTGCGCGTAAAGTAACGCGTAATGGTATTCGATTTAGAAGCTGATGAGGTTGCTTTCTTTTTGGAAACAGGCTCAATGGAAGCACTCTTTGTGGTGACAATGGTCGATTTGGTTTTTACTGGAGGTTGTTTGGCGGATGGTGCTAACCATGGCAAGGTGCTGTGATCTGCTGCTTTGGTGCATGTGCTGGAATCTGACCACTGTGCATCTTTGGTTTTTCCCTTCCGGACCTGAAATCCAAAAGCCTTCAGGGAGGACATGAAGACAAGCTGGGTGGGAGGAAGTGTACGAAAAGCGACTGGAAAAGGAAGAGGAGGAAAAAGGGAAACAAAGCCAGTGGTGGACAAAAGAAATGTGTTTGTGTTACGACGCGTGCCCAAAGGAAATTTGATAAAGGGTGGCGTATCATTCTTGCTCCTCCTCCCCCATCCACCCATCATCCATCCATATACAATAAACCTTTTTTTCCTTTCTCTATCATATTACAAGCACAACTTTGCTGTAGCGAACATGTCCCTGGCTTATGGGTTGTTTCTTTACCCCTCCCCCAAAGTAGTGGATTAAGATTTGTTATTCATGTAGGCGTGTTTGGAACAAAGGAGATGTGTGCTGCAGGAGAACATGCCATTTGCTTTTCATCATGCACATATTAAATTGGGTGACTACATCCATTTGATCCATCATTATCTTAAATGAAGACATGTATGCCATATTCTATAATAGTCAAGGGATACTACTACGTGCATTCATATCGAGGACATCTTCTTTCCACGTGACTTTGATTCACCTTTTCGCTGAGATCAAGTGCATTATGTATCGGCAGTCGATCACATAATTGATTACCTTTCATCCAAAGCAATGAGATGTTCTCCCTTAGACTTCAACTCTAAAGATATCTGCTGGATCAGTTGATCCGCCAATTTCCCTCAATATGAGTAGGAGACGATATTAGCTTTATCAAATCGATAAAGGGATTCAGGCATGAATACTTTGGGATTGAGGAGCCACATCTTTTGTACTAAAAGGTACATCCCATTGTTATCGACTGCCTACTAGTACTAGGTAATCTGCCCCTTGTTGTGAAAAGGATCGAGTGATAGGGTGATTTTCAACGAAGAATAAAGCTACATAAGCATTATCGAAAATCCAATGGCTGTTTTGATTGATGGTTATTGTTAGACGCATAAATGCTACAATCACCATCCTACTGGAAGAAGATGGTGGTGGTGTTACGACGACCATCACACCACCACCACGCAGGTTCATCGTGTGAGCTACTATTACTTTCAACAATGATTTTGGAGCATTATGGTGCTGTGCTAGTCAAAGAAACATACGTATATGCAAAATGGCGCTTGGCTTGGTGATCTCTTTTGGGGGGGAGAGCAGGTTGGCTCTATCATTCGCATATACCTTGTTTCATGTAACCACGTGATGTCAAGTTTATCTTCTCCGCCAGCACATTTCCATCCGCGTGGTTGACACTATACTCATCTGATACGCGTTTTCGCCCAACCGCTTGTTACACTCTGGCGTTTACCACTTTGGAACTTGCGTAAAGTGGGTGTTTCTTCTTTAGTGATATGATCATTACATACAACAATCGACGATAATACAAGATGAGAAAGAGATGATAATGGATTCATTATTGTAGATAACAAAGGGCGTATAGGAAAATAATAGTAGTACGCACGCCACACAATGTCGAAGGAGATATTGTATGATGCTCCTTTGTTGCACCCCTGATTTTGGATGGTTGGGATTTGTTGTTGAGTTGTCTACTACTAAAAGCAGCAAATGCTGCCCGGTTTATTCTATGACAAAGGATGGATGATGCAAGGGATATTCTTATAAATGGAAATATATATGTCATTTCTTTATATATAAGGGACAAGAAGAATAGGGAATACATTTGAGAGGAAAAGTGATACACATTATAGTGGCGAGGTGTCCTCAGGTGGATCATGGGCCCCCAAAACGAAGGGTTGGACCCCCAAGTCATCTTCGGGGATTTGAGTATTGCCTGCTGTTCTCTTTCCATCGCCTTTTCTCTTTCTTTTCTCGTTGTTGCAACTCCTTTCTCAAGAAAGTCTTTCTTTTTTCGGATACGTACACCCTCTCTCTTATCCTCACATACACACACACATACATACATACATTATCATTTGTACTTGTCCAAGGCTGCTACTCGTCTATGCGTGAACCGAACTTTAGTTTCCCTGCTCAAAACAGAGCAGCAGTCGTCATCTCGTCAACTCTTTACGATCGTCGGGCTCTCGACTGTACAGCAACATTGCCCCTCGTCAACTCGCTTACTCACCTTGCTTACATGACATCGACATCACCACGTATACGAGAAATCCTTGCAGCAGATGGTGGATTAGAACGACTCGTCAAGATTCTAGCAACATGCCAACAAACAGACCGGCATTCAATGTGGAAATGGTCGCTTGCATTTCAAAGCGTTGTCAATGTGGGCGTACGTGGCACCGAAGCCATACGAAGCCGTGTAGTGGAAACAGGCACTGTTCATGTTGTGCTTGCTATTCTCGAGAATTTCTTGAAGGCATTGGAGCATACAAGGGCAGCTTCGAATACTGTTACTGAAGATGATCCCGAACGCAATAAGCAGCAGCAGCAGCATGGTAGCAATTCGACGACGACAACGAGTGCATGGTCACTTCCTGCAGTGCCCACCCAATCAAGGTCAATGCCTATTACGCCTTCACGGAGATTTTTCGGTTCTGTCGATCAGCCACATCCATTTATTCAGCAACAGCAACAGCAACAAGTATCATCGCAACGACCTTTTGCAATGCCCAAACGACGCACTTTTCTCACCCGCAGTCCAAAGCCAAAGCCAAAACCCATCGATCCCTCCTTATCGACTATACCATTACTAAGCAGTCTATCAGCTGAAGCAGTCTTGAACAGAGAAGAAGATGTGCTCTTGTCGTTGCAATTATTGGCTTATCTATCCAAATACCCACACATTCGTCAATCCTTCCACAATGACCATCGCAAGAACGTCTTCTCTGTTGTTGAAAAGTTCACTCACCGCATACATCCCCACCCCATCATGTACTGGGCAGGAGTCATTATGCGCAACGCCTGCAGGAAGGATGAAGCACGAGGTGGTATCAGGCAATGTGCTTATATGCATTGCGGCAAATGGGAGCGGTATCCCCGTGAATTTGCTAAATGTCGTCGATGGTAAGATCAACCTTGTTATTCTCTTCACTATTGGATTCTAACATTATTCAATTAGTCGCAAAGCCAAATATTGCTCTAAACAATGCCAATCCAAAGCATGGGCGGAAGGTCATCGATGGTGGTGTGTAGAACGACATTCGACATCTCAACAACAACAACAAGCCAATACCAATGCTACTTCGACTACTACTACTACAGCTACAGCTGCAGCTACAGCTACAACAACACCAGCACCTGTAGTAGCTGGTACTACTGGAGGAACTCCTCAACCTGGAGCAGCAGAAACAGCAACAACTGCTACCACCCCTTTTCACGGTCCAAACACGGATGTCTTACCGATCCCGATTAATGAGCGGCAAAGTGATCTTGCACCAACAGCAACAACAACAACACCTACCGCACCCAATACATTGGCTGGTCGTGATATCACAACAACCACAACAACCACATCCAATGATCCTGATCGCTCCTCTGCACTACTTTCATTTACGGCAAATGCATCAGCAGATAATGGCAGTGATTCTCAAAATGAAGACAACCACCATCATCATCACCATCATCACCATCGCACTCCTATCTTGGGTGATCATCCATCTCGGCGAGAACCGCGTCGGCCCAGATCTCGCTCTAGTCACCATAACAACATCCCAGCATCAGGGTCCTCTACCGAGGTTGAAGCGGATGTAGCCGAAAACAGAATGATACGAGACCTAATGGAAGTCGATTAACTACTTTATATCCTTCACTACTCCTGGCATCTTTTTTTTTTCTTCTTTCTTTCTCTCCTTTGTACATGTATTAGTCTTGTTTTTTCTTTATATTCCCCTTTTTCCTTTTTGCATACGACCCCCATGTTCGTGTTTCTTCACAGAGAGTAAAAATGTTTAGACGTCAAACCATTCAGCTGATGCGATGTGTGATATCACAAAGTGAACATATGATCCCTTGGGTATAGCAAGTTGGTGCTCGTTACACGTACACAATGTATTCTAACGTGTGCACCAGGCAATTTGTGTTGTTGGCGGGAAACTTTACAGAATACATACATACAGCAAGGATCTGTTACCACACACAAAGTATCTATTTATATATAAATGTGGGTGCATGGTGTGTCCTTGGGGGTGGGGTGTGAATCCTTTCTCACTCTCTATATGTCTAAATAATACATTCCTTCCGCTGGTTTTGGGGTCCACCACATGGGTGACGAATGGTTGTTGTTGTTGTCATGAAACACAAGTTGCTTGAAACATAAAGAAAGAGGATGCGTATGCTGATGTTTATTGGGAATGAATATGTGTGCCAAAGATAGCGTCAGACCAAAAGGCCTCTCTACAATAAAGGATCGCCAACAAAGGGAGACCCACAAACATGCTCAACCAAAAGACAATATTGCCGACCATGGAATACTTGCGGATGAGCGGATGTCTTCCGATCATGATCAAGGGGAGCTGCAACATCTGCAGCACAAATAAATACATGCGAATACGTCGCGTAACGATCACCAGAACCAGCTCGTGAAGGCATGACGAGAATAAAAATGTAACAAAGGTGGCATTGGCCTTAGATAAACGATAAGACTCGATGGATTGGGCATACACATGACGCAGTAACCAATGGTGCACGGGCTTGTTCCATTTGCGAGCAAACTCATCATAGGTAATACTATCCATAGCCTCCATAAGTCAATCCATTCACTCACTACAGACTTAATCCTTCCTTCATTACCTATTCCACCAATCGTCATAAAAGTTTCTATCGGCAAATCTACCACGACAGCTGTCAGCATTTGATGGAGATGATACCCGTACCCATATCATCACATACCTGCTGATCTCTGCAAATCCATTGAGAATGCATTCGAAGATGATGTAGAATATCAAAAGGTAATTTGTCATGAATGGAAGCAACAACTCGATGCTGACGCGGAGATCGGATGTGTTGGGATCATACAACTTGGGTAGGATATAACGCTCGGTGGTGATGTAGAGCAAAAGAAAAGAACCCAGGGTAGCAACTGTTTTCTCAAACACATACCAAGGCCTGATTCTAAATAACCAAGGTTAATCTATACATCCACCTTGTGTCATCATGCATTGCTTACTTTTCAGTCCTTGGATACTCCATGGAATAGACTAAGCTTGGCACCAAAAGATAATCAAAGTAATTGGCAAAAGTGATATTGTCTGGATAACGTGCATTGCCTTGGATCAATTCATCTTGTAGAAATGACACCTCTGATTCCATCCCTTCGAGCTCTTTGTTGTAGTCGTTGTCGTCGTCGGCATGATCATCCTTGTGCTCAGCAATCCATTTGGGGATGTATTCCTTGAGGGATTTAAGACGCCGATACTTGATCGACAGCTCACCATTGAACGCCGTGTAGGAGTGCATTTTCATCATCATGACAATGGTATGCAGCGTAAAGAAGCCTGACTGAACCCATGGCCAATCACTATATCACATGATGAACATGCGTATTCCCTCTACTAAGCCATATCCACATGCCCACTTACCGCCAAAACGTCCAATAAATATTGAAAAACAGGAACACGGTTTGACACACGTGTTGTATAACCCACCCCGTTGTCTCGTAATGAATGATCCCCAACATGAGCATTTTTGAAAACACAACGCTGCACATGGTCGTAGCCACCATCGTCATATCGGATACAAGCAAAGCAAGACCATCCTTGGAGAATAATCGAAAAAAGCCAAGACTAAGAATGACCCCTTCCTGTTCATAGCATCGAATGGCCGTTTGAATCACGTAGAATGCCATCACAAGCCAAAACAAGGTAAAGAAGCCACGAAACGGATCGCTTGATGTTTCAGGATTGGAGATATCAAACTTTGACATACGCGCTTTGAACAAGAGTCGACGTTTCTTATGCACTTGGTGAGCACTCGTTGTCTGTGATTCAGCAATGGTGGTGGACGTTGATTGCGTCTTTTCCACTGTTGGACCCTCTGAGAGAACGGTGGTTGTAGTGGACGAGTCAATCGTGGTGGTGATCATGTCATTGCTGCCATTACTGCTGTTGTTGTTGTTGCTGATAATAGGCTCGGACGACAAGGACGATACCTCGGAGAATTCGGCTTGTGATTCATCACCATGGGTCTTTGTAGCTTGAAGCACTGCAGTCTTTAGCAGAGCTGGTGAATGTGACATAACCGAGAGGGGAGGAATGATGATGTATAAAAGTTAAAAAGAGTGTGAGTGTGTGTGTGTATGTATGCGTGTGAAAGAAGAAAAGAGGGAAAAAGAAATGAATCGAGGAGAATCTTTACTATCCTCGGGGATGGTTTTAAATAAAAGGGGGTGATCATTGTCGCAGGATGACATGATCGGCACCGGTGCCGTGCATGGTCGGCATCCAATGTGATAACACGTTGTAGAATGATCATCCGCCACCTGTTATGGACCTGTCATTCAATACTGTCACCATGTTAACCTAACACTAATTCATGCAAATGGTAGACTTTTTTGAAACAGCTGCAGAATAAATAGCTTACTTGTACAACATTGGCCACATTGATAGTCATCATTCAACCTGCTATCAACTCGTTTATCAGGAACAAGATCTCGTGCGGAGGATGCTGTTAATCAATGCACGTTGCTGGGTAATCAGGCTTGATTATTATACTCAAAATAGCACAGTCAATGGTCTTTCTTTTATCCGAAAACATACGCTACGCCCATTCTTTGATATCCCAACTCTCTTTGTAATAGCTACAGCTACTAGCACATTCGATGACACACACCCCACATTCATCAATAGGAAAGCTTAAACTCGTTGCCAATTGGTCCAGTCTTACATAGAGCACAGATCACCATGGAAATTCCACAACGGATGTTGCTCCGACAACCATATAAATGTCCCAGCATTCGCTGCGGCTCCCCCACCATTTGATCTTGTTCCCAAAATAACACTTCACAGAGTAGTAGCAGCATGGCCGAATACCTCGCAAGCATTTATGGCACTGAAAAGGACAAGTACGTGTATTCTATTTATTTTCATACAACACGATACTAACTTTATAACCCATGCGTACAGAGTCAACTGCTCATTCTATTTCAAGGTAAGCAAATGGGGCAACATGGATACCATTTGAGAGATGAGACTAATCTTGAGCATAGATTGGCGCTTGTCGACATGGAGAGCGTTGCTCCAGAAAGCATGTTAAGCCGACCTTTTCACAAACGATTCTAATAGCCAATATGTACAAAAATCCAGCACACGAACAACTATATACCATGCCTCCTGAGCAGCTACAGGAAGACTTTGACATGTTTTACGAAGATGTTTTTACCGAATTAGCGTCTTTTGGGGAGGTAGAAGAGATGATCGTCTGCGACAACATAGGTGACCACTTGGTGGGAAACGTGTATTGCCAATTTCGATATGAAGAAGCAGCAGGGAAGGCCGTAGAAAGCTTGAATAACCGATTCTATGCAGGTAGGTGGTTGATGGGGGGGATGGAGATGAAACACAAGATGCTGATCTTATTGTAGGTCGACCATTGTATGCGGAGTTGTCCCCAGTAACAGATTTCAGGGAAGCATGTTGTAGACAACACGAGGTTGCTGAATGCAATCGTGGCGGCTTTTGCAATTTTATGCATCTGCGACACCCAACTAGGTCACTCAAACGGGAATTAATGGATGCTCAACGTGCTTCGATTCGAGAAAAAGAGCGTGAGGAACGTCATCGCCGTAGAGAAGAGCATGGAGGAGAAGAGGATGAGGATTATCACCGTAAAAGGAGTTCGTCACGTCGTCGAGATGATGATCGCTATCGTGATAGTGACCGACATCGTAGACATAGATATGATGATTACTAATAACAAGAACGTCAATATATCATAATCGTTTGTATCATTCAATTGTTGTGCTTTGATCATTTTGGGGAATGCAAAGATACTTTTTTATTGTTGAGTTATTGAAACACCACCACGCGTATTAATCATTGATATAAATGGTCATGATCACTGATAGCTGTAAGCAATGTCATTGAGATCCAGAAAAAGATCAATGTCGTCGAGTGCATAAAGGGCTTGGAAAGTAGGGGATTGCCACGCTGCATATTGAGTCATCGGACCACTATGATGGGATGCTGGTAGTAGATAATACGAAAATGAACCATTGTACATTGGCTGCCTTTGGCCATCAGTTGATGTTGGAAACAACACTTGTGAACTAGTACTATCCTCATGCGTTGATAGTAGCTGGGTTGTGGCTCTTGCTGCTGTTTCAAATGATGACGATGATGATGATGACACCCAAGCTTGTGCCATGTGAGGAGATTCTTGACGCTGTCGCTGACCACGACGACGACGTTCTTTAGCTCGTCTGTTTTGAAACCATGTCACCACTGTTTTTCTTGGGCTTTGAAGCTCTTCAGCTAACCAGTTGATTTCACCTTGTGAAGGATTACGCTGTTCCTGGTATGCTTCTTCAAGTGCTTGGTGTTGTTCAGCCGAGAAACGCCATCGAGACTTGATTTCAGGTGACCAAGATTCGATGCTACTAGAGTCATGATTATCTTGGTAGCGTTCAGTGGACATGATAGCAAAAGCAAAAGAAAGAGTGTTTATCTGTCGCGACCTCCGATGCATGAATCATATAGCAAGCGATGAGACAAGTGATAAATTTGACATCTCGAGTGATTTATGCAACGCACGCACACATTTTGTTCCCATTACAATATCAGCAAGCAGAAAAAGCGATTATGTACAAGAATGACGGGATTGTATTATTGTGATGATGATGATGATGGCGTAAAAGTGGATACATTGAGGATTCGATAGCAAAAGTGACACAGCAAGCATGCCCAAATCCAAGAATAAAACAAGAGGTATGTACCAAGAATCAGGCCTATGAACGTAAGGCAAGCACAAAGAAGAGCTCTTCGAATCCATTCGGGGATTGGCAAACGTAATAAGGGCTCAAGGTTAATATGGATGATATCGTCTAGCATGTGAAGAGTGCGATCAAGGCCAATGACACCACATACGCCCACTAGATAGACTAATCCCAATAGAGCTTCACCAGCAACACCTGTTGCAAAGTGAACTAGTTGTAGCCATGCGAGGATTTCTTGTAGCTCGTGATCTTGCCATAGCTCGTCCCCATCCAACTTTGAACCAGCTTCATTACCCAGACCAAGCTTGTCAAGAGCGGACCCAAGTTGTGCTAATCCAAACACAAGGCCGACCACAGATGCCATACTCAACAAGTGTATTGCAAAGCATACAGCGCGGCTAAGGTATACTCGTAATCGAGAATGATACGCGTAGTCACATATACTGCAGGTGATGGTATCCTGATGCTGGCCTTCCAATGCAAGGCAATTTAGATGCACCTTTTGTGGACAAGGACATATTCGTACATGGTGGGGTCGATTTTTGTGTATTAGAAAAGGGATCACAGGAAAATGTAAACGTCGTGGTGGATGTGGTTGCTGTTGGCTCTCTGCATTTTGACCATAATGGCATAATTGACAAGGTCGTCGTTTATGGCTCGAACGTCTAGATCCACTGCTGGAAGATGGACGTGGTGTTGGATGAACGTTCGTAGTGGTGGCAGGTGTAGAAACAGGATAAGGCGGTGGCAGAGATAAATCCATTGGGATGGATGACGAGGTAAGATAATGGATCTCCCTCATGTAATATCGTATACGTGTGTTATTATTGTTGTGTGGTCAAAGAAGAAGAAGAAAGGACATAGTCAAGAAAGGGGTTGATGGAAACAAGATGAAAATACGCCCATGGCCCGAATCAATTCCGTTTTGGGCTCACTTTTCTCTCCTTGATTCTTCCTTACACGTCATCTACTTTTATAAGCAAACGACCTGCAGTAAGCTACAGAACTTGCATATTTTGTTGTGTATTATTATGTACTGCTTTATTTAAATGCGCCATGCAATAGCAGCAAGATCACCCAGTGTGCATGTGCTTTCCATTTTACCAGGCTAGCTATACTCAACACGACTAAATATGTATATCATTTCTCATCAGGTACTGGGCTGGGTCCTCATGCATGATGCTCTTATGCGAATGCTTATGGATGGGGTGTACCACAAGATGTAAACTATGGATGCATAAGTGTCCAGACACATCCCCTTTTTTTCCAAACACAGGCCACCCCCTCTTCAAACAGCATGACTTGGAGGATTGATAAGACGACTGGTTTATTCCCTTTTCATTAACATCCTCTTGGTGGATGGGAAGGAAGCTGCATGACTACTCCGATATCGCACAAACAAGCGTACTCGATCTCTTTCACCTCAATAATATACGATGGCGACACCACTTGAACGCTACATCCAATGGCTTCGCGACAACGGTGCTAGATTCGACAAATTTGATTTCAAGACAGGTAACTCGATATCGTTGTGGTCGTGGATCTTGTGTTGATCGTGTTTTATAGATCACGATGGCATTGGTAGTGTCTATGCAAGTCAACCCGTGGAAGAGAATGAGACATTGGCAACGCTCCCTTTTCGACTTGCTATTACTGAACCAGTTGCACGACGCGCTTTTCCCTCTTTACATGCGTATCCCTGTCGACCTGTCATGTCAGCTTTTGTGGCACAACAAAAAAATCTCGGAAGCCAATCCTTTTATGCGCCTTATTTGGATGTGTTACCAGCCAAAATCATGACCACCTTATTCTTTGACGACGATGACATGCGTTTCATTGAGAACACGTCAATTGCAACTGCAACGATGGAGCGTAAGGCAGCAATCCATGCCGAGTATGAGAAGCTATTAAGAGAACCTGGTGTTGACAACATCTCATGGTACGTCCTCGTTCATGCTCATACATGCAGGTCAATTGATTTCACAGTATAGGGACGACTATCTTTGGGCTTATTGTGTGCTTTCTTCTCGTTCATTTCCTTACAAGTTGATCGATCCAAGCAAGGAAGATGTCCCCTCTGAAGTCTTGTTCCCACTATTGGACGCATTGAATCACAAGCCCAACACCAAAATTACTTGGATGAGATCTGGTGATGAGGAAACGGGAACTCTTTCTTTTGTTACCGGTCAGCCAGCAGATCAAGGACAACAGCTCTTTAACAATTATGGTCCAAAGGTTGGTATACAGAAATTGCAAGGATTGAAATATGGCTTTGGCTGACTTTGCCCTCTTTTGAACCTGTAGTCCAATGAAGAATGTAAGTTGTATTGATTCATCCATCAATGCTGGATCTGACAAACAATCAAATAGTGCTTTTGGGTTATGGCTTTTGCTTCCAAGTGAGTATCTACATCATGGTGATGGAAGAATGGACACTAACACAATGGTACATAGTACAATGAATACGACCATTTTGCTATCAAACCCAACTTTTCGCAAGATCCAAATGGGCCAATCAAGCTGAGCCTCCTTTCACAAGCGAATATCGTATCCGGCAATGATGATCCATTGTTGAATTATGTGCACCGACAATCAGCCCCCGACTCTCTTTGGAAACTCATGCGAGTACTCGTGATGAATGAGACTGAAATCAGCTATTACGCCAATTGTACGGATGCCAGCATGCTTGATTTTGTCGGATATCGCAACGAGCTTGCCATGCTTAACACCACCCAATCCCTGCTTCAATTCAAGCTGATGAATGTGCAAAGGCTCCCTGTAAGTCGTGATCAGGCAACCAAACCATGGCAGCAATATGCATTGATGTACCGGGATGGTAAGTGGATTGTGATCGGATGTATTGGGTATCAGGATAATAATGGCCATATGGCTGATCCTAGGTCAAGAAGACGTTTTGAAATCCATCTTATCCATGGTCGAACAGCGGAAGCAATCGGTGCTGAAGACAATGGCACAAGATACAGTTGCACCCAATGCACCTTTCTTGAAGATCGTCAATCCAGAGCATTTCTCTACTCCACGTGAAGAATCCTCATCTATGGTCATGCTTGAAAACGTCACCATCAGCTTGAAGCAACTTTTGCAAAGAAATCCTACATTCAAGAATGCTGTTGACCAGTTATTCGAAGACATTGAAGAAGAGGAGGATATTGTATTTATGCTGGCACTGATACAAGAGCGGTCTAAAGAGGTTAAGAGCAAATGGCATGACTTTTTCAACAAAACCAGGTAATGTGGACACATCAGGATTTGAGGGTATCTTGCTGATATCTTTGTTGAATGTGCTAGTAATTTACAAGAGGTTGATCCGCAAACGGCTGCTGAGTTACAGGATTTATATAGCTCCCTATTTCCAGCATTCACTAATGCAGTCCCCGATGTCTTCCATCCAACTATCTTTACATTCGAGGCGTTGTTATGGGCAGATAATGTATTGAATACCTACTCGCTGAGTAATCCACTCGTACTTGTACCAATGTAATGAAACTTGCTTAATAAAGTTAACTAGCGGCCCTGCTCGCTTCGCACGTAAATTGCATAAGCTGCCAGCTAATAGTCCCTTCCTCGCAATCCCAACTATTGATCAATCCACTACATGTGAAAGTTTCCCCTGCTCCAGCCCATCATTTTCATCATTCAATTGTCTTGGTCCGAGTGGATTTGGTTGACCAACGCAGGAACAGGGAACATGTCAACTCATGAATCGTACACCCTACGTATGTTCCATCGGTTCATAGCCTCTCCCAAACCCATTCAAAATTCTCACATGAAGTGTGGTATCTTTATGAGAACAAAGTTCATCAGCATGGTCTAGAGCACCATGTGTGAAAATTTCAAGTTCCAGATGGACAATTTTGGGGGCATGGGCCGTTCACCCTACTTGTATTCATGTTTGTCCATCATCTATGGTACATTTAGATGCTCCCATTCAAAGTCTGCGTTGTATTGTAGCGACAATAAATTCAGAGGGAGGATGTCCAACATAGTGCTTGTTGTTATTTTAGCTTGGTTCATTGTAAGCTTAATTCATTATGTTCAAGAAAGAGCGAGCAGTGATACAATATGGCATGAGTATATGAACATACCATGCTTATCTACGACAAGTATCAGCTAAAGCTATCGTATGCAACCTTCGAACCATCCCACCGGGTTATCATAGGCGGACCTTGCAATAAGAGATGGAGCTACTTCATGCATCTTCCCACCAATAGTATTGACGCTTTATGTCTCGTCCCCCCTCGGCTGCAGTTACACGAACGCGTCCCTCTGTATATTGGCTCTATCAGGTCTACACCTCCTTGTCTATGAAAAAGACCACTCTCCATATAGCATCATGCTTACAGCATAGTTAAAACATAAAGACAGCCATATCTCAAGATTTCACAATGAAACGTGGGGTTTTGAATAGAGCAATGTGCTCGGCTTGGCCAACTGCACCTTGTGTGAAAGTTTCGCGTTCAATGTCGCAACTAGCCCAAAAAATATTTTTTGGTCGTCGTCTTCGAAGAGGTCGACCCCTGGATCCAGTTTGGCTGGTAGCGACATTGCGAAATCTGGGATTGGCAAGCTTGATCGTGAAACTGGTACCCAAGGTGCAGTTGACCAAGCCGAGCACATTGCTCTAATAAAAACTCCGCGTTTCATTGTAAAGTTTGGAGATACAGGCACCTTTATGTTTGTAAGCGTGATGCTATATGAGAAGTGGTCTTTGTTCATTGTCAAGTCGCTGGACCCTGGCAGAGCAAAAGATGCAGAGGGACCTCTTTGTGTAACTCAGCTACTTTGCATGACTGGAAGGATGGAAGGATGATACTATATACTGTTGACAAAAGCCCGTACATTGCGAACTAACAGCCATTTCTTCACAATAGCCACTGTTGTCCACTCTATGACATGTGGGCGATTCTCCTGCTTCAGGCATTCATTTCCATGATTGGATTACGTTGATCCGAGTTGATTTGACCGAGATACAGCCAAAGAGGGATTACATCAATCCACACATCTAACCATGCTCTATGTTGCTCAACTGAAGTAACCTTGTATGAGCGTAGCTCAGCCAAATCAACTCGGATCAACATAATCCAATCATGGAAATGAATGTCTGAAGCAGGAGCATCGTTCCACTGTCATAGAATGGGCAACATTGCCGATTGTGAGGAAATGGCTATTAGCTCGCAATGTATGGGATATTGTCAATAGTATACAGTATCATCCTTCCATCCTTCTAGTCATGCAAAGTAGCTGAGTTACACAAAGAGGTCCCTCTGCATCTTTTGCTCTGCCAGGGTCCAGCGACTTGACAATGAACAAAGACCACTTCTCATATAGCATCACGCTTACAAACATAAAGGTGCCTGTATCTCCAAACTTTACAATGAAACGCGGAGTTTTTATTAGAGCAATGTGCTCGGCTTGGCCAACAGCACCTTGTGTGAAAGTTTCACGTTCAATGTCGCAACTAGCCCAAAAAATATTTTTTGGTGGTGGTCGTCGTCGAAGAGGTTGAGCCCCGGATCCAGTTTGGCTGGTAGCGACATTGCGAAATCTGGGATTGGCCACGATGGACTTGAAACTTTCACACAAGATGCTGTTGACCAAGCCGAGCACATTGCT